TGAGTTGGGGGGGAGGGTAGGGTGAGATAGTGGGTCGCCATGTAGGTTGTCTTGGTGGGGCTCGTCAGCACCGCGTACTGCGCCGCGAACTGCGCCGCAGTGTCGTGCGGATTGCAGACCTCGCCTCTGCAGTACCGGATCCCACACCACGTGTTTCGCGCCCGGAAGACCCGGAAGTAACTCGGGGCCGTGCATAGCTTTCTGCCTGCTGGGGCACCCGCCCATTCTCCATCTCCCCTGAATGCCCATCATATCACCACGTCATGGCCAGTGTGCCACCATGCCGTACAGCATAACCCATCCTCCCAATGCACTGGATCCCCACCCCAAGCCCACAACCCCTTCAAACCCCCACGTACATACTCACGTAAATGCATACACACACATATGCATGTGCGCACAGACATGCATACATGACATACGTACATACGTACACCTCACCTGGAGCAGTTTCCTGAACGGCATGTCCGGGGCCCAGTGTGCGAGCAGGGAGATGGGCTCACGCAGCTCCGGAAACAGCAACACGGCGCGAGAGTACCTGCGGCAGTAGCGCAGTAGCAGCAGCAGCAGACGAGTAAAGAAGTGGCAGTAGTAACAGTAGCAGCAGCAGCAGCAGTAATAGTCGTGGCAGCAGCTGCAGCCGCCGCAGCGTTAGCAAGTAGCGGTAGCAGTGGCATAGCTGTAACAGTAACATAGCAACACCAGCAGCAGTAGCGGCAGTAGCAGTAGCAGCAGCAATGAGCTTCGAGGACCCTTTTGTGCGAAAAGCCCTGTCACCGTTCCCAGTTGTACGATACCTGCTTCCGTAGTACGGACTGCCGTAGCGGAAGACGGCAGCGCATGCGTGCATCAGCTGCCTGCCGTACTCGGTGGCGGTGGCGGTGATGTTGTCTATGGAGTCGTACGATATGGCACTGCCGGCGGTCGCGGTCACCACTTGGCCGCCTCCGGCCTCCCCTGCTGGTGGCGGCGGGGTCGGAAGCGCCTGCCCTTGTCCTTGGGGCTGTCCGGCGGACTGCTCCGCATCGGCGACAGTCGCGTTGCCCATGGAGAGGAAGTCAACCCTGTACGGCAGTTTGGGTCATGCTACAATGCAATGCAACGGGCTGTACGGACAATCCTTGAAGAGAGTACGACCAGCAGGCCGATAGATAGTCATTTCCTTAGTTTTCGGTTTTCACCCTTCCTCCTCACCGCAGGCAGGCAGGCAGGCGGCGCTACGGGACGTCGTCACACGTGAGCGGCCGGACACCGCGATCACACTGCTCTCAGCCACCCGGGGGGCGCGCATGTGGGTATTTCCAGGCACCACTAGCGATTCCTCGACCTGGCCGGATCCTCCCTCTCCCTCCCTCCCCCTCCCTCTCCCTCCCTCTCCCTCCCTTCCCTCATACTCACCCGTACGCCGTAGACCCCACCACCTGCAGTGTCATGCTGCCCAGCTCTCTCCAGAGGTCCACACGGCTCCCCCGCACCTCCCCCCCCTCCCCCCCGACCCCCCTGGCGCGCCCCTCCAGCCGCTCCGCCAGCTGCGCCGCGCAGGCCACCATGCGGGGCAGGTAGCCGGAGAGGCTGGCGGAGGAGAAGGCGGGCTGCCAGGCGGTACGGATCATGCGCCAGTACTCACCCCTGGATGCAACCCGCGTGTGAGTGGAGGTCGTGCGCGAGGTTTCCGGCGGGGGGGAATTAGAGCGGGGAGTGAGGCTGATTTGGTTGTGAAGGGAAAGAAGACGCAAAGACTTTGTGCTGGTGGTGCTATGGGATGTGGTACAACCAGGATATCCCTTCACTGTGTGTGTGTGTGTGTGCACATTCGCCGAGGTTCCGTCCGCCCGGTCGCCCTCTGCGCTCACTTGGCTAGGACCAGCCCGGCCTTGTCCGCCTCGCGGTAGACACCTCGGTTGAGGTTGGGGTCCACGATGGCGCGCTCCCGGAACCGGAATCCGATCTGTTCGTACAGTTTCATTGTACGAATACATTATTGGACGATTGGACGAATGTGCGTGGCGAAAGGCGCATTATAAGAGGGAGGGAGGGCTGTCAAGGACGTCGTCACGGGCGATGCTGCAGCAGCAGCCGACATCACCCTTAGAAATAGAAGGCAGCTACAAAACCAAAAGGGGGGGGAGTCCAGACGACGAACCACTTACACCCACACCGCGCACTTTGGACGGTTAGATATTATTCAAAGACTTTCAGTAACCGTGTTAAGACCCCGACTGTACGACAGTACGACAGTACCTGTCGGATGAAATCGGCGTCTGCTACCACCACCACCCAGGACCGGCCCAAAGCCACCTAGGCATGTGTTTAAAAGAGGGGGGAAGTCGTCCGTACAGATTTATAGGTGATCAGGCGGTGGTGGGTTCCGAAAGTGCTCAATTCAATCACGCACCAGTTGTAACCCCCCCCCCCTCCGCACATACACACACCAGCCAGCTTTGCGAGATTAGGGATTGTTTCAAGTACATGTACGTTGCCGGGTTATTGCCATAATGATGATGGATGTGCATCAGCAGATGACGACTACCGTGTAGGTGTATTTAGAGCAGCAGTACAGTACGATCGTACGTCTTCTCATGAGAACGGACAACAGGTTCGAACACCACACTGACCGCCCCTCGCGTGTATGTACGACAATGCGTACCTTATAAACGGGTCCGTACTTTTCGTAGCATCGCCGGAGGAAGTGCGGAAAGCCGTACCGCATGACCTGCGGGACGCAGCCCACAATGGGTATTGCCGGGGGACCTGCGAATGCGGGTGAGGGGGGTGGGGTTGGAGTCTCATATGAAACATTTCGTGTATTTTTCGCATGAAATGATAAAAAGGTTGCAGCACCAACGCCTCGCAGCTGGCTAGCACGCTTCCTCATGCACGGCCCCATGCAAGTGTCTTGATTGATTCTTTGGCCTCGAACATGATTTAAAAAAAACCCCGAAGCAAGCAGCAACCCCGTAGCGGCTAAAAACATGCTCTGCTCTGCATACCGGGAAACTTTCGCAGCTTCCAGCGCTGGAAAGGCTCGAATAGGACAATCATCAATTCCTGCAGAGGGGTGTGGAGATAGGGAGCAAATGAGCGATAGGGGGCCATTCCTTGCAAAGAGTTAATTTGGTTCGCGATGTGGCGCTGATGTGGCAGAAGCACTTCGAGAGCACTTCGCCAGTCACAGCCCATGTGCTTATCCGTAGATTCGGAGTCACTAACTCATTGCGAAGAAGCTTTGGACGGTGCTACACGGCACCGGCAGTATTTCCATTGCATTTCATATAAAGCAGGCAAGTCCGGCGTCTTCCATCCTGCAGGTACGGCACACGTAACAACTACAAATACGCGCGAAGTTCTTGACCAGCATCTCGGGAGGCCTTTTCAGCGGCCGGCTGCTACACATCCACTCACCAGAGCAACGGCGACTAACAGGCCGTAAGCCAGCACATTCCAAGCCGCGCACACCAAGGCCATCGCGAAGTGAGCGCTGCTGCTGGGGGCTTCCACAGCGGCAGCTGCTGCTGCAGCTGCTGCTGCTGCTGCGGTTGCCGTCAGCATCGTTGCAATTGTTAAGGATGAAGGATTACAGCTTAAGCTGTTAATTGATTTTGTTGCCGTGATGAACAAAACGGGACACTGCAGAGGAAAAACAGAACAAATAAACAAACGAACGAGCCAAAAAATGAACTAGCAGCAGCAAATTTGGGGAGTGGAGCATCGTTATGATTGCAATGACCGAGCGCACGCAGCCCTTGCCTTGCCTGCGCGCGCGAGAGGAAGGCAGTGGAAAGCATGGCAGATGTCCGATTCCCGTTCCACCGTTCAGACAAACATACAGGCGTGGCACAGGTCGAGGCACAATCTTCATAGAAGAACTTCTTTCCCGCTTGCATACCAACCTACCTGGGCGGCTTGTTGAAACCCACCACCAAGAAAGGGTCTTTCACGACTCGAAAAACCCGCCACCACCGGAGAATTTGATGCGGTTCCTAAAGTGGATGTCAAACTATTATGTACCTATTAATGTGCTGCACAATTAGTCCTCAGTGAAAACGACTCAAATACTATTAAAATAAGGTTTGCATGTGATGGTCGCCTGTATCCATTAATTGTCATTGGAAAGTGCATGAAAGGGCGTCACCTGTGAAATCCAAGGACCTGATTATGCCAGATCACACAGGGGTCCGAGGGGGCCCACGTCCATGCAGGACCAAGGTCAGAGCCCGATCAGCCAAAGCATGTCACAACTTTGATTTCCTGAACTTGTTTGCCCGCCATGCAAGTCAAAGTATACCTTCTTCCTGGTTGCAGCGCACGTGCTCCCTGCCTCTACATGGGCGATCATAAGGCTGCTGCAACAATTGAGCTTTTCCTCCGCCACGGTGAATAATGCATGCGAGCTGAGAGGCCGGTCCCTCGGGTCTTACCGGCGTTCGACGGCTGCTCGTTGCTACTGGGGGCCTGTTTTTTTGGTTTTGCTTTTAATCTTAATTGCAGCAGCAGCGGAATTGGGGGTCCATCGATACAAATATTAACGTTTTTACCGAACATTTTCCAAGGTGCTTAATGATGCTGGTGCTGAAGACGGGGACGCGCGCGGCTAGGGGCGCGGCTGCAGCAGCTTTGCTAACGCCCTGGTAGCCCGCATATTGCGCCGTGCGTGATGAGTTTAGGCCTGGCGTGAGGATTGCTGGGTGTGCGGGGCCAGTCGTCCGCGCAGCTGGCAAGGCGAAGATCGAGTGGTGCACCGTCGGGAGATGGTGGCTTACAGTTCCGGAACTTGTTATTGACTCTGGCAGCGACGGTTACGAGAAAAGCGATTTACTCTGCTACCCAAAGTGCAAAAGTGGATACTATGGAGTCGGAGCTGTTTGCTGGCAGAGCTGCCCGTCCAAACACAAAGTATGAATGTATCAGGCATTCGTTGCGTATAAGCAGCCGGGAGTACGGCAGCGGCATGCGTCGAGTGTTAGACAGCAGGTTGATGCGGCAGGCAGCAGGGTGCCAAAGAGCGAGCCGACCATGGCACTCTTGCCCTTCCTTACACCCCCCGGTATTATGTATGTACTAAAAGCGTAATCTAAACCCTTGAGGTTTGCACTCAAGGCCATCAATGACGACGAATCCCCCTGCACGCAAGCTCGCACGGCTTACTAACATCGGTAAAATTTTATATTATCTATAGACCGGATCATCGTACAATAGGATACCTACATACCTACATACCTACATACCTACACACCTACAGACCTACAGACCTACAGACCTTCGCTGTGACAGTCCTGGCCAAAAGCAAAGCGGCCATTGACCCCATATGATGTGTGGGACAGGGGGGGTCGTATCTTCACCCTGTTGCCGCTACCCGGCAGACCCTGCCTTCCCCGGTATTTCGGGGCACCCTCATCTAGTCACCCTAGCTGACTACTCAGTGGATTGCTGAGGTTTAGCAGCCACCACTGGCATCCAACGGAATCTGCCGGATCAACGACGGCTCAACTCCATTCCTAGTCAGCTCACAGGTCAACTTCATCCCAGGTCACCACTGTC